GAAAAAGTCTGAGACGATAGGTGGGTGAGAGGTGTGAGAAACTGAATCACTTAAAATAATAAGCAAGTGTTCACAGTCGTCTAGCCTAATGTAACCATAACACACAATAGTGCCTCAGTAGTGACTAGATGCTAAACATGTTCATCTTTCAGTTCTCACTTTTTGGCATACGTGTTGGGCCCCAAATATAAAGTTGTTTAAATGAGGAAGTTACAAATTCTTCATATTTAATGATTGTAATTCAGGTTTGGTTTTGTGGAGTTACCTCTCTGTTCTTCAACTGTCACGAGAGCTTCCATGCACATACTGTTGCAATGAAGAAGAGTTGCTTTGAAAAGGTTTACTGCTCACAGATGCCCGGTCATGTGACAACAGCACAACCATAAATATACATTTTGTTCTGATATCAGTTGAAACCACTGGCACCCCGGCAGGTAGTACCAGTAGTGGAAAGTAACTAAGTACATTTACTCAAGTACTGTACTTAAGTGCAGTTTTGAAATATCCTTATTTTACTGAGTCTTTTCATTTTGTGCTACTAAACACTTTGACTTCACCACATTTTTATATTAGTTTATAAAATAAACTAATATAAAATATAAAATAATTTGTGAAATATAAAATTTTTACTCCACTACATTTATTTACAACTTTGGTTACTAGTTGCTTTTCAGAACCAGCTTAATTCAGAATTACAGTATATTCATAAAACTATTGATCTCTGGTGGAAAATTCACAAGGTATCCATCAGTACTAAAATTCTAATTTTATAGGCTAGTTAAAACTAGCTTTCCTTTACCTTAACCAGCTGTGACATTAAATGTAATGAACACAATAATGCATCAGTAATTATAATCCAATAGCATCCATCCATTATCTATACTGCTTATCCTGACCAGGGTCACAGGGGGGCTGGAGTCAATCCTAGCTGACACTGGGTGAGAGGTGGGGTCCACCCTGGACAGGTCGTCAGTCTATCACAGAGCTGACATGTAGATATGCAGACAACCACACACATCCACACTCACTCCTACGGGCAATTTAAAGTCGTCAGTCAACCTAAGATACATGTCTTTAGACTGTGGGAGGAAGCTGCCAGTACCCAGAATGAACCCAAGCAGGCACAGGGAGAACATGCAAACTCCACATGGTTCAGTCAGGACTCGAACCCAGAGCCTTTTTGCTATTAAGCAACAGCACTGACCACTGTTCCACCATGCTGCCCATAATCCAATAACATTATATACATTCATGTAAAATGTGTTTTCCTACATTATGAGTCTTTTTACTTTTAGTACTTTAAGTATAGTTTGATGCTAATAGTAGCATTTTTAATGCAGGACTTTTATTTGTAACAGAGTATTATATTGCTACTTTTACTAAGGTATAGGACACATGTGTCAAACTCAAGGCCCGCGGGCCACATCCGGCCCGCAAGATCATTTTATATATCCTTTTTTAATGGCCCGGCGATATGAAGCGCCGATAACACACAAACTACAAATCCCATAATGCAGCGCAACAGCTGCCTTACCGAACGA